AGGGGGAGGGGGAGGCCTTGAGAGTCGTCAAGGATGGAATGAAATCGCTTATCGCGAAGACATGGCCTTGGTGACGAGACGCTTGAGGGCGAGCTCCTGCTTCTTGAGATCCTCGGCGGTGCTGTCGCTGAGCTCGAGAGCGCCCATGGCGTCGCTGATGGTGCTCTCAATCTTCTCCTTCTGGCCACGCTTGAGCTTGAGGGACAGGGTGGGGTCCGAGACGATCTCCTCGACACGGCCAATGTACGACTCGAGCTGCTGCTTGGCCTCGAACTTCTTGCTGAAGGCCTCGTCGTTGCTCTTGAAGGCTTCGGCGTCGCTGACCATCTTCTCGATCTCGGTGGACGAGAGCTTGCCGACAGAGTTGGCAATGGTGATGTTGGCCGAGCGGCCCGACGTCTTCTCCGTGGCCGTCACCTTGAGGATACCGTTGACGTCGACCTCGAAGACACACTCCAGGACGGCCTCTCCAGCCCTCATGGGAGGAATGGGCGCAAGGGTGAACTCACCCAGAGACGTGTTGTCTTCGCAGTTGACACGCTCACCTTGGTAGACGGGGAACTGGACCGTCTGCTGGTTGTCGGCCACGGTGGTGAAGGTCCTCTTCCTCAAGGCCGGGACAGTGCTGCCGCGGGGAACGACGGGAGCAAAGATGTTGCCCTCCATCGCCACACCCAGGGACAGGGGGACGACGTCGAGCAGGAGGAGGTCAGACGTCTCGGCCGAGGTGGCCTTGCCAGACAGGATACCGGCCTGGACGGCGGCACCGTAGGCGACGGCCTCGTCCGGGTTGATGCTCTTCTCGAGCTTCTTCCCGTCGAAGAACTCGGACAGGAGCTTCTGGATACGGGGGATACGGGTGGAACCGCCGACGAGGACGATCTCGTCAACGGCCGACTTCTCGATGGCAGCGTCCTTGAGCACCTGAGCGACGGGCTCGATGGTGCCGGAGAAGGCCTTGCCGTTGAGCTCCTCGAAGCGGGCACGGGTGATGGTCATGGCGTAGTCCTCGCCATCGAAGAGAGAGTCGATCTCAATCATGGCCTGGGCACCGCTAGACAGGGTACGCTTGGCACGCTCGCAAGCAGTGCGGAGACGGCGGAGAGCACGGGGGTCGCCGGAGAGGTCCTTCTTGCTCTTGCGGAGGAAGTCCTTCTTGCAGTGCTCGAGGAGGTTGGTGTCGAAGTCCTGACCACCCAGATGAGTGTCACCGGCCGTGGCCTTGACGGTGAAGACGCCACCCTGGATGTTGAGCAGGGAGACATCAAAGGTACCGCCACCAAGATCGTAGATGAGCACGTTGCGCTCCTTGGACGACTTGTTGGAGCCGAGACCGTAGGCAATGGCGGCGGCGGTGGGCTCGTTGATGATACGGAGAACGTTGAGGCCGGCAATGGCACCGGCGTCCTTGGTGGCCTGACGCTGGTTGTCGTTGAAGTAGGCGGGGACGGTGATGACGGCCTTCTCGACCTTCTTACCGAGCTTGGTCTCGGCAATCTCCTTCATCTGTTCTGGCGGTCAGTAGATTTCTTGCTTGAACATGCATTATGAATTTCTATGCCAGGGTTTAAAGCAAAGCGACCAGGAAATTTTATAAAGGGTCGTGGAGTAATCTCCACATGGCGGGGTCAAAATTTTGTCAAGTGGGTGGTAAAAAAAATGTAAGAAACCTCCCCCTCCCCCTCCCCCAGGAGTGAGAAAAAAACCCCCGCCAAGAGGAAAAGAGTAGAGGGTGCGGAGAGAGAACAGAAAAAAAAAAACTTGCCTTGGTGAGAACCATGGAGGAGATCTCCTGGGCGGAGAAAGCCTTCTTCTCGCCGAGGTAGTCAACCTCGATCTTGGGGCCACCGTTACCGTCGTCGATGACCTTGAAGGGCCACGACTCGATGTCCTTCTTGACGGTGGGGTCATCGATGCGGCGACCGATGAGACGCCTGTAGAGTGATGGTCAGCAAACAGTCATCTCTCCTTTTTTTTCTCTTTTTTTTTTTCTTCTTCCTTCCTTCTTTCCCATCGGAAGAGCGGATATCTGGAAGGCTGAGAGGAGAGAGAGAGAAGACTTTCCTCCCCGCTCTCTTCAGGTGGGGGAAAATCTACTCACTTGGCATCGAAGACAGTGTTGCGAGGGTTCATGGCAGCATTGTTCTTGGCAGCCTCACCAATCAGACGCTCCTTATCGGTGAAGGAGACGAAAGAAGGGGTGGTGAAGGAGCCCTGCTCGTTGGCAATGATCTCGACATTGTTACCCTCGTAGGTGGCAACGCAGGAGTAGGTGGTACCTATTTGTGGGAGAGGACCGCGGGGTCAGTTTTCCACGTCGGTCTTTTTTCTTGTTCGCTTGTCCCGCTCATCCATCACCGTCTGTCGAGCGAACAGAGTAGAGAGAGGAGATTCACTTACCCAGGTCAATGCCAATGGCACCGTCGTACACTTCGTCCGCCATTTTGAAAAGGAAGTCTGAGGGGGGAGGGGGGAGGGAGAGAGGATTATGGGAGGTGGGGTGGGATGGTAATGGAAAAGAGAAAGAAAAATTCGAAAGGAGAGGATTTTTGAAAAGAGAGGGAGTGGGAAAGATTTGGGAGTGGCGTGGGGTGGGGACCAAAGCACACACACACACACACAACACGGTCGGTGTGAAAGAATTTCTTTTCTCTTCACTAGCAAGTCAGGCAAGATGGGCTAAGCACTTTTTTTCCCCTTCTTCTTCTTCTTCCTTACTCGACGGGAGGAGGAGGAGGAGGGGCTTTCTTTTTTATCTTACTGAAATTTTTTTTTTTGCCTTAGTGGGGCTTTACAACGAACCAAATGCTGTGGTGTGTGCTCTTTACTGGACCCCGCCGCTAATCCCAATACGGAACTAATGCCCCCGTCCCGGCTTTTCACCGCCTTTGAAGGTCCAGGTGGCAATAATGTTGGTCTTTGTAATTCCTACTCTTACACATCATTTGCTGACTGTATCTTGATTCACCACGAGCACTACCTGCTATTCTCCCACCGATCATGCGTTCCCTGATTCGGTACCACGCCCGTCCTCACGCCTTAGGAGTCAATCCCTGGGTCTTTGCCTCCCGTGAGATGAGGGCGGTGACCTCCTCCCTGAGGGACGGCTGACCCGTGCCCTTCCAGCCGAGCAGCTTCTCGGCCCTCTGCGAGATGCCCTTGGAGTTGAGGGCCCACGAATTGGCTGCGGGACCACCAAGCTCGCTCGCCTCGTCGGACGTGATGACCTTGGTCTTGGCCTCGGGAAGGTACCCCTGACTGGCGGCCTCTTCGGCCACCCACCTCGCCACGTCGGACCACTTGTGCGTCCCGGGACCGAGGAAGAAGTACCCCTCATGGCCGAAGACGCCGGCCTCGTCCGCCCTCTTGGCCGGGTCCTGGGCCGCCTCGACGAGCCGCAAGTACAGGTCTGCCAGGTCGTTGACATGCACGTTGTCCCACTCGGTTAGGCCGCTGCCGACGATGGGCGCGAAGCCGTTCTTCAGCGTCGCCGCCACCATGTCGGGCACCTGGATGCTGCGCGTGTTGACCGGCCCGGATCCCTCGCCGTAGATGCACGGCGGGGACACGATGGCCAGCCTTACCGCGTCCGACACGGCTGCCTGCGCAATCTTGTCCACGTCGCGGTGGATGGCCTCGTCCGGGATCGACAGCACCGCCTTGGTTCCGTCCACGTCGCTAAACGTCTGATCCGCCAGCGGCGCCTCGCCGTATCGCTTGGTAGCAGCATCGTGGAACATCAGGATGCCCGTGCCCGACAGGTGGATCCAGTACCCCGGGTTAGACGCCGTGTGGCCGGCTGCGAGTCCCCTGGCTATCGCCTTGGCGCTGGGGACATTGTCTGACGAGTCGGCAGTGTCTGCGTTGCATCTTCCGGTCAGCCAAGACAGTACACGAAGCAGTGGTAGAGTACTAGAGAACTACCATGTAACCTCGAGAATGCAGGGTTATATAGTAAAGGCAAAGGGTAAGCGTAGATGATGGGCGCACTTACGAATGACAATGTCCGCCTCGGAAGCCGCCTTCTCGATGATATCCGCGTCATCGAGAGATCCGTACACCAACTTGGCATCGGGGTACTTGGCCTTGACAGCCTCCCCCCTCTCCTCGCTGCGCACGAGCAGAGTGAAGTCGTACTCGGGGTGAGCGCGCGTGAGGAATGCGTAGACCGTGCCGCCGATGTAGCCTACAGTACTGGTCAGCTGCTCGCCCTTTCGATATCATCCATCGCCATTCAACGCAGAGGACGACGCCGAGGGCGACATACCCGTCACACCGGTCCTAGTTACCCAAATAGTTAGCCTGATGGTTTTCATTCGACCTGGTAGCCGCGGTCTCGTGCTCATGTGGCGTCCTTACAGGAAAATGTTGGGTGCCATCTTGTCGGTCTTTTCTAGTACAGTGACGTTGGTGATACTTGTAGATTAAGATGCTGGAGAGAGAGTGGGAGAGAGAGAGAGTAGAGAGAGAAGAGAGAAGAGTCCCTGTGTGGAGTTCTGCAAGTATTGAAAGGTCTTAATCGAGATGCAGCAAACGAACCACATAAAGAACATGCACATCTCCTGGGGGGCTCGGCTTCTATTTATCAACCATCAACCGGCCATCAAATGCAGGTCTGGTTTACGTCATATCCCAACGTCGGAGTTCAACATGAGGGCCAACACACTCTTCCTTCTCTGCCGACATATGCATGTGCGTCTTTGGTCCATCTAACTCACCACCTACCTCCACCTACTCAAAAAAAGGTCGTCGTACCGTTGAAGGGGGGGCTTGCTTGATTTATAATAGCTCTCCTCCTAGGCGCATTTGTCATTGGGCCATTACACACGCAACACGCAATACTGCATCTCAACTCATCGATTACCACATCTCCCATGTCAGCTGTCCTATTTGTCATCGACCATGTCTCATTCCGCATCTCCCTTCTTTGCGTTGTCGCTCCTCCCACCTTTCTTCGCCTTTTCAACCGTGATGGATAGAGTAGAATACAGTGAGCGGAACCAAGACACACGGGTACACGACGGCATCTATCAACAGCTGTCTCTTGACAAGCTCCCGCTGTCTTCCGCTCAACCTGTCCAGGCCCCCATGCGTGTACCATGAAATAGCCGAATCGAACTTGCCGTACAGGGCAAGCACCCCGACGGGCGGAAATGTAATGCTAAAGGCTACAATGGCCAAAAATATGCATCTCTGCTGGTGTTGAGCTTTTCGGAAGATTCGCCCACGATGCAGGGCCTCTTCCCACGTACCTTTGACCGCACCAGGGCGTGCCGAGCCCCTTTTCATGTACCCTTGGCCTTCCTCGAAGCTCTTGGAAAGGCCGCGGGGCGTGGCAAGTTCGGAATGAGACATATCCCAGCTACTGCCTAGGCCACGGTAGCGTCGCGTGCCGTACGACTCCAAAGATGCCAGCCTGATCCGAGAGGTGCATGCCGTAACCGGACAAGACGATGTCAACCGAGGGGCGTCATATCTCGCTGCACCATGTCAGCCCAACTGGACGAGATTATACAGGCTCACGATACATACAGTAGGTTCTGTGCTGGCTTTCGCCACCACGCGTGTGGATGCGGGCCATGGTAGGAAGTGGCACGTAATTGTGCTGGAATTCTCTATGGCGGTCAAAGGACCTTGATAGAGGAGTCTGTGGAGACCGAGAGGAAGACGACGTGCTGACGGTTACCGATCTCGACTTTGCGTGGAATGATTCCCCAGCCTCGGTATGGTCTTCTTCTCCTCGTTCCCTGCGCAGCTGTTGTCTCCTGGCAGCTTCCGGAAGACTTATCAAGGGGAAGGGGAGTCGCGATGAACAGCCATGGCTAGCCGCCATAGGCCGGAAATCCTCTGCTTCATCTGAACCGGCTCTATACCCCGAGCTCGAGGTACTGTGACCATAGTCAACAGTCTCCATCTCGCACACGCCCTGTACGCCTCGTCGGATGTCGGCCAGGCAGTTCTGGAACATAGCGTGGGAAAGGTCTTGAACCGCTGAGAAACACCGGCACCGTATGTCATGGGCCCCGATAGGATTCCCCGCTCTGTCGGCACAGAAGCTTTGGTCTTCTTCGTCCCCCATAGCTGGAAAGGAGGTGTGGGCTTCTGGAAAGCCATGCGAGTGAACACGGCATCGAAGACAGGCATTGCGACCGACTGGCACCGCGCTTTCGCAGCAGCGCAAACGATTGTATGGAGGTGGGGGGGCCACATATTCCGGACTGATCCTAGTACCACTGACAGTGGCATGATCGAAATCCATGTCTTGTCCAGCAGCTGGGCCACTGGTCACCGTCTGCCAATCGGCGCCTGGGTTGCTGTCAAGGTGGTTCTGTCTGATAGAGGTCGGCACTCCGTCCCTTTGCCGGCAATAATATTTCAAATGAGTGCTGTAGTGATCAGGTTCATCCTCAGCGGCCCGAGCCTCGACACCCTCATCAACCTCCTAGGCTGATGGATCGGTTCGGGCCTGAGATAAGGGCGACTCGTCTCCCAATGCCAGGTCTCCGTTCATGATACCACGGTCAGACCCGGTGTGCTGGATGCCGTCAGCATGGGACGTGTAGTACCGTCCAGAATCAAAGCCAAATGGGTCCCCATTGGTGCTGCTGGAGCATTTGGAGGCTCGTCTGCACATGAGCTCGGTGAGCGGGGATTTGTGGTAGCCTTCTGTGGAGGGGCTTTCGTCGAGCCAGGGATCCGTGGCGAGGAGGTGCTCCGCAGATCTTGTGTTGTCTGCGTCTCCGTCGCTCGAGGTTGACCAGGCAGACTGTTCTGATAGGAAACATGGCTGAGCCCTTAGATCCGGGAGTCTCGGGAGCGACATGGCTGGCGGGACAGCCCTCTGGTTGCCTCTCACATCCTGCCCTGTTGGAGTGAAAGTGTTCGTTATCAGGGATCGTTTGACGGGAACCGCTGTGTTTTCCAACATGCGTTGGTTTCCTGTCAGCTCGTACATACCGGACCCTTCGAGGGACTGTACCGTTTCCCAGTCAGAAGGGGTCGTGTTGCTGTCAGAGACGGTCCCCAGTCTGTTCCAGCTTGGGATTCCATTCTCGGAGCTATGCTGGGAATTATGTGGGCTTCTTGGGGAGGTTGGGGGCCTCGTGCGTGAGAATGTGTACTCCATTCTGACGAGGCGTGTTGTGACTGGTGTTGTCGTTGTCGCGTGTTATGCTAGTTCAAGGTCTCACACGATGGACGTTATCTATCGAAAACCGAACCCTTTATTAACGGAGGCCAATTCAATGGATCAGGTTGCAACACCAGCCAAGGTGAAGAGAGGTGAAAACTGATTAGGGCTTGCGGGGTGAGAAAGAAAACGGGCATGGGCACGGTGTCAGTATTGCGAAATGGGGAGCGACAGCAGTTGGCTAAGGTGACTGACTGGCAGCTCAGATGAAGGTGAGCCAACGCGTGTAAATAGGGCAGGTGCCAGGAGGCGAAGTGCTAACCCTCAAGGGTGGTAGATATCACGGCGGCACTTGCCCTGGTCAGAGCCAGTTCTCCCACCGATTGCGTGGCAAGAGGCTGGCAGAAGTGACTGGCCCAGTTTGACTCAGGATGACAATCACAGCCATGATATCACAACCACCATCGATAGCTGATGCAACTTAGTGCAGCCTGGTGCAGGGCTCTCTCACCCTAGACTCCAGTCTAGAAGAGAATTCTTATTACGCCAACAGTATCTTCGGCCCATCTCCCACATATACCATTGACAACTGCAAGGGAGAGTATGCCGTAGTAGTCCACGATCTCCAAGCTTTTCATGTAGATATGCTAGACCAGATCACTGGCTACCAGTTGATTCATGGCTACTATCACAGTGGTCGTATTGATACCGGTCTGATTCGATGGGCAGATGGATGGCAGATGCGGGGTAGTCTGACAGGTTCGCATCGACGGTGAATGAAGACGAAGCACGTGATCACCAGTGAACCAACAAAAGAGTTCCACGTTCAGACACAAGGATCTAACGTGTCTGGATGTTTAGCTAGAAAAGATAATAGTAAGAGGAATGTAATCATCGCTACCAGGCACTACCTAGCAGTGGGGATACAATAATGAAAGAACCGAGCAGTCATAGCACTCATAACAACCATGACTGATTTTGGTTGCTACTGTTCTAGACACTCGAGGAACCCCACGCCCCGGCTCCCATGTCGCTGCTAGTATTCATATTAATTACTATCCGTACATGCAGAGGACCTCAGCAGAGAGCTCTTGGGCCGTAGCAGAGGGGCCGTAGCAGAGGGGGCCGTAGCAGAAACCTGATATCGGCAGTTACTGGAGCATCCATAGCAGAGCCTAGAGCAGAGCAGAGAACCACCGGACCCCAGCAGCTGCTAGCACCTACCTGCCTTTGGTCCCTCCCTGATTCGATGCCTAGCAGCTAGTATTTGCCTCTCTACGCGGGACTCCCTCGTACTCGCCCACTCCATCACCTCTTGTTACCTCTGTTACCTGTATTAATAGCAGCCATACTAACCTCTGGTCGCCATCTCGCCCCCACTCACTCTTCTCCATCTCGCCCCCACACTTTTCCTGATACGCCGCTTCCTTTAATTTATTGCCATAGCCGTATAGAATCACGGCGTAGAAAATGGGCTGCTGACGCCCAAAGAGCAAATGGGGTTCCTCTCACCAGCGCTCTTGCCGCACCACCGGCTAGCTGCAGCCGCAGGCTGAATCAAGGACCTCGCTCTTGATGCAAGCCACAATCCCCTCTCGGTTCAACAATACAGAGTACCACTGGCCCGACACACGCATACATGTAGTATTACTGGCGTGTACGCTGTACATATCCATACCGTGTACATGTATGCATGCCGGTCTCTGTCCTGAGTACGACGATACAAATCGCCCCTCTGCTCCTAGCTGAATGCATGCAGTAGTACAATTGTCACCACCTTTCCGCCCTTCTGGTGCGGAACCCCCCCCCCCTTGCGGCCGCCGCCCACACCATCACGTTCGCTTGCGCTGCTCTCCACTCCCTCTCTGCCGCCACAGTCTCTCGCCACGGTCTGCATATTGTCGAGACTGGCCTCGTGTCGACTGACTCCATATCGAGACCCTTCCACATCACTTCTCGGATCCATTATGCATCATGGCCGAGGACAGCCACGGCACCGCTCCTGGAGATCGGCTCCCGGATGAGGTCTGGGTGCTCATCATAGGCTGTGAGTATTGACGTTGCTACTCTTCCAACTCCCCCC